CCCCGCCCCCCAAGGTACCGCCTGTGCGGGACAAGCTGAAATGTCTCTCCTCCGCCCAAGGGTCGGTGCTGGCAGTGGGCGTCCATGCGGCACCGCGGGGCCGTTCGAGGGCAGGCAGTGCGGAGCAGGCCCCTTCCCAGGGCGCACCCCGCGGTGTTTCGGGCAGACGCTGCGGGTGGCCAAGGAGCCGGTCTCCCTCACACTCGCCGGCCTTCCTGCCTTATGGCAGAGCAGGCAGTTTCCACATCTCTGTTGGGGCAGGAGTTCGCCTGTACGGGGGCAGAAAATTGTGTTGGGCAGAGCGCCGCTTACTGAGTTTTGCCAAGCCATCGAGGGCTGCATGACAGAAGCCGGGGGCAGATAAATATTACTTTTGTAAACTTTTTAGGGGCTCCGCAGGCTAGATAGAATGGCTTGGCAGGCCGCGTGTGGCCCCCGGGCCGTATTTTGCCCACCCCTGGTCTGTGCATCTGAGAGCTAAACCAGCCTTTTGTTGCAGAGAATTCGGAGCGACGACCGTTCAGTTCCAGATCTTGCGTCAGAACGTGCCATTCCTTGGCTTCGCTGCCCTTCTCTGGAGCATTTCAGGGAGAACTATTTCATCCCGCAAAAGCCTGTTGTGTTGGAGGGGGTTGTTGACCACTGGCCATGTATGAGAAAATGGAGGTGAGGAATTGAAGCTTGTCCTGATTAGAAGCAGTTTGTGCATCAGTTAGCTCCAGTCTGAGCTCATCCAACTCCCCGAGGAATGAAGCATGGTACTAACTCCAGCGATACATGCGGGAGGTATCATCTTCCTATGCTGTTTGCTCGGTTTCCTATTGCTAATAGGACTCCAGCATAATAGATGCAGTTTAGCAACTTGCATCCTAATAGCTCATAGTTTACTAATCACAGAATATAGAAATCGGGTGTTGGAGCAGATTATTCATCCAGGCCATCCCTGCAGGGGCCAGTCAGCAAATTTCTTGGTGCAAATGTTAGTGGTTTACTCTAATTGTAAACAGGAGCTGCATATATACCACCAAGGACTCAGTGGGTATATGGTTGAATTTTCTCAACCACATCCATGACCGTTACTTATTTAGGTATTCTTGTGAACATGACTTACTAATATTTAACATGAATTTCAGTTTCAAAGCTGTATGTACAAGTAGTATTGGAAACCACTTTTTTCATTCAAAAATGCAAATACTGCAGCCACATCCAGGGAAACTTACCCAGTTTAAGGTAGAAGTTATACTTTGTAGCTCATCAGACCACTCGCAACTAAAATTTCCAATGTTTAGTATTGCATCTGTATAGCAAAATGTTCATGATGAATACACAGGGTAAAATTTGCAAAACAAAAACCCCTTGAACTTGAGGAAACCATCCGGTTGCCAATATTTCATAAGTACAGGGAGAAGCCACGTCCATTGAATAAACTGCAGCTCATTGTTCAGAACAGCTCTTCTAAATTGGCAACACATCTTTTAAAAATGAAGAAAGCTTGTAGTATTTTGGTGCAGGTCAGTGTGGCTGCCTGTCCCCTTGCTGTTGGTATCTTTAACCTTGCTGGGGGCACAGGCCTTTCACGATTGCATGCTACTGAATAGTCAGGATGTTTCTGTATTCCTCCTAAGGAGTTAAACTATCCAAGGTAGCTGCCTTGTGCGTTGAACATTAGCACTGCATAAACCCCCCTCTGAAAACTGATTTCCTATCTACATTTAAACTAGATAAAAACAAGGATGTTAAATGAAATCTAAAAGTAATGAACCTGCTTTGTTTCAGTGTGGATTACCTCCATGAAATTGCTGGGTGGCGCACAGTCCCTGTGGAGCTAGGTTTGCGATACACAGATGAAGAATGGTCTCAGGAACTCATGACTGTGGATGACTTCATCAGTCAGTATATTGTGAACAAGGTCTGTTGCTTCCACATGGTTTTATCTCCACAAACATGGCAGTGGCCTACTGGACTGAAGGATTTCTCCCTTCGTGGCCTGGCCAGAGCTTATTAGAACCAAGTAGCTGCTTGTAGAGGGTCTTCATAGTTTCATAGTTTCTAGGGTCGGAAGGGACCTGAGCAGATCATCTAGTCTGACCCCCTGCCTTGGCAGGAAAGAGTACTGGGGTCAAACGACCCCAGTAAGGTGGTCATCCAACCTCCTCTTAAAAACCCCCAGGGTGGGAGCCTGCACCACCTCACTTGGAAGCTGGTTCCAGACCCTAGCCGCCCTGACCGTGAAGTAGCGCCTCCTGATGTCCAACTTAAACCTTCCCTCCGCCAGCTTGTGACC